ATACGACTTTAGTTATTTTGCTCCAACTGTACCAACTTTGGCTATTGAGAACTTTTTGGTTATCTCTTATGTCCCGTTGACATATGCCCATAACTGTGTGTCTGTATGTGTGCATATGTTTGAATGTTTCCTTCCATATTCAGCTTGCAAATTTCCTTCCCTAATTCTAGATCAACCACTTTTTCCCAAGGAGCCCTTTTATTCTTCTTTTTATTGGAGAATGGTATTAAAAATCAAGATTTGAGCAGTATTTGTGCTCTTTGATACTAGGGTGTTATTGCTTCCAATCTCTCCAAGCTGACAGAGACAAACACACACACACATACTGTATATACATGTATATCCACAAATATTTCTAATGTAGCTCTATGTATCTGTATTAAGCTAAACATGAGTGCATACTGGTGTATCCAATTTCAGTCAAGTGCCATATAGATCATTCCAGTTCTCTCCTTTTCTATAATCTCCCACGTTAACATTGAGAAACCTGGTTTCCACTGTCAGTCATCCATTTATTTAGTTGTTCTTGCATAATGGTTTCCAAACTGGTACTCTATATAGTGTCAGGAGAAAGCTTTATGATTAGAGCACATTGCTTGTGTACAGTTTGTTTTGCCCTTTGCCCTATAGCATTTATTTATTTCCAGCATTGCTGAGGTCAGCACCTTTTCCCCATCTTATCCAGTGAGGTAGTTTTGTATATTTGTAATAAAGCTAGATTCTCTACTCCCAGTCTGCTTTTCTTCCTAGGTGGTCAAGATTGCCTAAATGGCCTTTCAAAAATTAGCACAAGTTAAAGTTTATTCATTGTGCTGTAAATCCCATGTTTTCTTTTGTTTTATTTCAAATTAATATAAGGGTAAAAGTTTTTAGGTTACATTGTTTTACCTTCTTTTTTAATTTTCTGATGATTTGATTTACAGTGTGGAATGCTAAAATTAAACTGGTTAACGTAACCATCACCTCACTTACTTATTTTTGGTGGTAAGACAAGCAATCTACAGATTTAATGCAATCCCCATCAAAGCACCAATGTCATACTTCAAAGAACTTGAATACATTATACTTCATTTTATATGGAATCAGAAAAAATCCCAAATAGCCAATCTAATAGTTAGAATTAAGAACAAATATGGAGGCATCACACTACCATACTTCAGGTTATACTATAAATCTATAGTGATCAAAAAAAGCATGGTACTGGCGCAAAAATAGAGATATAGATATATGGAATAGAATAGAGAATCTAGAGATGAAACCAGCCACATACCATCATTTGATCTTTGTTTTTACTTCTACAGTAAAGTTCAGGTAATAGTTGAGCCCTTCAGCCAGAGGGCCTGCTGAACACCCTCACATTGTGCACACTAGGTGAGATCCTGCCAATCACCCTCACCCTTCCCCTTTCCCTTTTTGCCTCTCCTCTTCCTAGACTATATTTGTATTTTATTGTTCATGTGAGCATGTAATTATATGTTGGTTTCATATAAAGTATTGAATACATTGGATTTTTTTTCCATTCTTGAGCTACTTTACTATGATGAATGTCTTTTAACTCCATCCAGGTAAATATAAAAGATGCAAAGTCTCCATCTTTTCTTATGGCTGAATAATACTCCATGAATGCATATGCCATAGTTTGTTAATCCGTTCATGGGTCAATGGACATTTGGGTTGCTTCCATGATTTGACAATTATGAAATAAGCTGCAATAAACATTCTGGTCCAAATGCCTTTATGGTAAAATGAGTTCAAAAGCCCTTTCAGCATCAATTGAGAGAATCATATGGTGTATGTTTTCGATATTATTTATGTGCTGAATTACATTTATGGATTTATATATGTTGAACTAATCTTGCATCCTTGGGATAAAACCTCCTTGATGATGATGTATCACTTTTTTAATGTGTCATTGTATTCTATTTACTAAGATCTTATTTAATATTTTTGCATTGATATTCATTAATGATTTTGGTCTCCAGTTTTGTTGTTATTGTTGGGCCCTTTTCTGGTTTTGGAATCAGGGTGATATTTGCTTCATGGAACATGTTGGGGAGGATTCCTTCCTTCTCTATGTTTTGGAATAGGTTATGCAATATAGGTCCTCTTTAAGGTTTGGTAGATTTCTGGTGTGAAAGCATCTGGTCCAGAGCTTTTTTTTTTTGGAAGATTTTGTATTGTTGATGGAATTTCAGTGCTTGATATGGGCCTATTCAAAATTTCTACTTCTTTCTAGTTGAGTTTAGGAAAGTGGCAAGATTCCAGATATTGATCCCTTTCCTCTACATTTTCATATTTCTGGACAAAGAGTTTTTTGTAGTAATCATTGCAGATCTTTTGTATTTCTGTGGTATCTATTGTTATTTCTCCTTTATTATTTTTTGATTGAAGTTATTAGAAATCTTACTTTTCTGTTTCTGGTTAGTCTGGCCAATGGTTTATTGATTTAATCTCATGGGTTTTGAAAAATATATAGTATCTCATATCCACCATTATAGTACCATAGAGCATTGTTTCATGACTCCCAAATCTCTTGTGCCTCACAGTATCAACCGTTCTTCCTCTTGGATCTTTAGCAATGACAGATCAGTTTACAATCCATGAACACAAACTATCTCTCAATTTTAGATTTTCTTAATTCTAATTTTTTGAATCAGAACTTTATAGTTTTCCACATATTGATTCTTTAGATATTATGTTATATTTATAGATAATTATGCAGCTTTTGTTGAGATTATAAATGGTATTTTTAGATATTTAGATTATGATTATTCAATGCTGTTATATTTAAAAAGTAATTTTCCTTTTCTATACTGACTTTGTATCTTGTGACCTTGCTACATTAGCTTAATAGTTCCAGGAGTTCTTTGTAGATTCTTTAGAGTTTTTTCCTGTGGATAATACGTCAGTTGTGACCAAAGACAGTTTTATTTCTTTACAATCTCTGTATCTTTTAATTTCTTTTTTAATGAACTTGGCACCATGCGCTTATGTTGGCAGCACTGTACAAACAGAGCTAGGTAAGGTTTCATAACCTTGGTATGTCCGTGTCTCACCACTGGTTTGTGTTGATGTGTGGTGGTGTCCTGCTCAGTGTTCTTTATCGTTGTTGCATGTCTTTGTGTGCAGTTAGAGCTTGAATTAGAGCAATGAACAAACATTAAATTTCTTGTTAAATTTGGCAAGAGTGGAGGTGAAATCAGGGACATGTTAGTCCAAGGTTATGGGGATAATGCCATGAAGAAAATTGCAGTGTAAAGATTGGGTTGAACATTTTCATAAGAGGTTAGAAAACATCCCTGATGAAGAGAGGTCAGGGCAGCCAGTAATAAGCAAAACTCACAAAACATTGCAAAAATTCATCCAGTTGTGTGTCAAAATCATCAGCTGACTGTGAGAAGGATAGAAGACCAAGTAAACATCTATAGAGAACCAGAAAATTTTAACGGAAAATCTTGGCATGAGAAGGGTGTGGCTCTTTCTTTCTTTCTTTTTTTTTTTTTTTTTTGAGACAGAGCCTCAAGCTGTCACCCTGGGTAGAGTGCCATGGCTTCACTGCTCACAGCAACCTCCAACTCCTGGGCTCAAGCAAGTCTCCTGCCTGAGCCTCCCAAGTAGCTGGGACCACAGGTGCCCGCCACAACACCCGGCTATTTTTTTGTTGCAGCCATTACTGTTGTTTGGCGGGCCCGGGCTGGATTTGAACCCGCCACCTTAGGTGTATGTGGCTGGCACCTTAGCCGCTTGAGCCACAGGCGCCGAGCCAAGAAGGGTGTGGCTATTTCATCTCAACAATGTACCAGCTCACATGGCACTATTTGCGAGGAAGTTTTTAGCAAATAAACAGATAACTGTATTTGAACACCCCACATACTCACTTGATTTGGCCCCAAATAACTTTTTTCTTTACTTGAAGATAAAATAAATATTGAAGGGAAGACATTGTGATAATATTCAGGACATCAAGGACAGCTCTGATGGCCATTCCAGGAAAAGAGCTCCAAAATTGCTTTTAAGGGCAGACTAGACACTGGTGTTGTTTGGGGTAGTACTTTGAAAGTGACTGCAGTGATATTCAGAAATGAGAGATGTTCCATTTTTTCCTAGGATGAGTTTGTGAACTTAACTGTGTAATTCATATTTCAGTAGCTAGAATGTTAGTATAATTTAGAATATGAGTTGTGAGAAAGAACATCCTTGCCTCATTCTTAATCTTAGGGTAAAAGCATTTGGTCTTTCAGCATAAAGTTTGATGTCAGCTGTATATTTTTAATACATGTTATTTATAAAGTGAGGATGTTCACTATTCCTAGTTTGCTGAGAATTTATTTTATTTTATTTTTTTTAATGAATGGGGGTGTTGGAAAATATCAAATACTTTTTCTACATCAACTGATGTGATCATATGTTTTTTCTTGTTTAGCCTATTGATACACTGGATTATGCTAATAGATTTTTGAATGTTGAACCAGTCTTGGATACTTGGAAAAAGTATCACTTGGCCATAGCATACAATTCTTTTTATACATTGATGGATCACAGGTACCATGAAATGATTTGGGGGGGATACAAATATGAATAAAAACTACCTCCTACCTTAAAGAATCTTACAGTCCATTAGGCAGAAATGAAGAGATAGACACACATTTATATATAATCCAAACCAAAGCAGACTAAGCACTCTTTTTTGAATTTGAAAATATTAAGGAACTACAAGTGTTCTTGTTACATAGATGGGCTGTATAATGGAGTTTCAGTGTACCCATCATCAGGACAGTGTTCACTGAACCTCATAGCTATGTTTTTATCCCTCACGCCCTTCCTAACCTCCCTTTTTCTTAGTTTCTGATGTCCTTTATATCTCTTTGTGCCCACCTGTACTCATCGTTTAGCTCCTACTTATTACTGAGAACAAGTGGTATTTGTTTTTTTATGCCTGAGATCCTTTAGTTAGGATGGTATCCAGTTCCATTCAAGTTACTGATAAAGACTTTGTTTCATGGTCACTACCAAGGCTTTCAGAATGCAGTTTTTCAGTTGCTAAGAACATGACCATAAAAAACTTCCCACTAGGTTTTCTACCTGCTACTTTGCTAGCCCCCAGCCTGTTGTGGGCATTTTGTTAACCCTTTATTGTTATTGTTTTACCTCCTTTACCTAGGGGAACACTGTCCAAGTAGAAACACAAAGCAAGCCACTGTGATTGTCTAATAGATTTACAGCAGACACTCAGTGCATACCTGGATCTCTTGTGCCTTACATTGTGCTTTGTCTAGCTAATTCTCATTGTGACTTTTCTGGATAGCTAACAACTAGGTGGTGTGTGGACCTAAGGGAGTCTCATTATATGGTCATCTCTAGGGATGCAAACTTTTATGTTATTGTTATGCAGAGCTGACAGGACAACCATGGATTGAGGATCTGTCCTACCAAAAAAGGAGGTCTTGAAGTTAAATTTTCAGTGGCTCTAGCCTTTGAGGTACTAGAACTACCCTTGATGAACAGCAAAAGGAATCACACATGAAATTCCTTGAATAAAAAATTATTAATTTTGGCTGGACACCTGTATCTCACTGGTTAGAGTATTGGCCCTATGGACCAGAGGTGGCAAGTTTGATCCTGGCCTGGGCCTGCTTAACAATAACAAAAAAAATTATTAAGTTTTCCTAATGCCATAATAAAAAACAACTCTTTTTACATTTGTTTGTAGAAATTCAGCATGCATTTTTGGCTAAAAGTTTCTCTAGCATTTTCTATGGAAGGAATAAAGAAATGTAGCAGTTTCAATTGTGTAACTTCAGCTTGAAAAATTGGAGCCCCCTCCCTTCCCAATCCTGCTCACCTTATGAAATTCTTTTACCTTGCACTGTTTTGGGCACAGCTGCTTCTTGCTTTGATTTCTCTTTCTTTTGTTGTTTCACCTCAGCAAGTTGATTTTTATCATCTATAAGAAATTTATATGGAATTAAAGAAAAATACTGCAAAAATAAAGACATTTAATTCTTTTTTATGGCTGAGTACTACTCCATGGTAGTAACATACCATGGAGTGTGTGTGGGCATGTGTAACATACATATGTAGTATATATATAGAATAGTTTATTTATCTACAGTTGAATTGTATATTTTTGATACAATTCTATCTTTTCTTTTGAGTAGATAACTAATAGTGAGACTGCTGGCTTAAATGGTGGGTATACTTTTTGCTCTTTTAGGAATCCCTGTATATTTTCCACAGGGATCGTACTATTTTGCAGGCCCAGCTACACTGGTTCAGCTTGGCTTTTTCTCTGCATCCACTTTAACATCTGTGGTTTTTCTGCTTTCTAACAATGGCCATTCTGACAAGGTAAGTGGCATCTCTCTGTGGTTTTAATTTGTATTTCCCTGATGATTAATCATGTTGAATGTTTGGCATGTTTATCAGCCATTTGTCAACCTCCTTTTGAAAAAAACTCAGTTCATGTCCTCTATCCAGTTTTTGCTGGGGTTTGTTTATCTCTTGGTGATTTCTTTGCGTTCTTTGTAGATTCTAGATATATGTATTAGTCCTTTGTCAGATGAATAGTTTGCAAATATTCTCTCTTATTCTGTAAGTTGCTTGTTGACTCTTTTAATTGTTTCCTTTGCAATGCAGAAGTTTTTAATTCAAATAAGCCCCATTTGTTTACATTTGCTGTTGCTGTATTTGCATTTGGGTTGTCAGTCATAAATTCTTGGCCTAGGCCTATGTCTAGAAGAGGTTCCTATGTTTACTTCTAGAATTTTTATGGTTTAATGCCTTACACTTAAATCTTTAATCCATTTTGAATTAATTTTTGTGTATGGTGAGAGACAGGGGTCCTGTTTTATCCTTCTGCATGAGGCTATCCCAACACTATTTATTGAATAGGTGTCCTTGCCTCACGATGCTTTTGTCTGCTTTGCTGATCATTTGGTTGTAGCTATATGGTTTTATTTCTGAGTTTTCATTGAGTTCTATGGCCTATGTCTCTATTTTTATACCAATAAATTATGCAATATTATTATATCACATACTCTCGTGGTATAACTGAAGTCATGGGTTTGTGATGCTTTCTGACTCAATTGTTTTTGCTTAAAATTGCTTTGGCTGTTTGGCCTCATTTTTTGGTTCCAAAAGAAGCTTAGGATTTTTTCTAGATCTTTGAAATAAGACATTAGTATTTTGATGGGAATTGAATTGAATCTATGAATCACTTTGGGCAGTATGAACATTTTTTTTTTATTAAATGAAAGCTGTGTACATTAATGCAATCATGGGGGCAGGATGAACATTTTAATGATATTTATTCTACCAATGCTTGAGTATAGGATATTCTTCCATTTGTCAGCTACAACTTCTTTCGTTAGTGTCTTGTAATTCTCCTTGTAGAGATCTTTCATCAACTATGTTAAGTATATTCCTAAGTGGTTTTTTCTGATGCTATTGTAAATGGTGTTAAGTTCTTGATTTGATCTCAGATTGACTTGTTCATATACAGAAATTCTACTGATTTGTGTACATTGATTTTGTAACCTGAGACTTTACTGAATTTAATGTATCAATTCTAAGAGTCTTTTGGTGGTGTCTCTAGGGTTTTTGGTAAAAAATCATGTCACTGGCAAGCAGGATAGTTTGGCCTCCTCTTTCCTGATTTCCTTGCTTACTGTTTCTTTCTTTTGCCTAATTGCTCTGGCTAGGACATCCTGGAGACAGTGAGCACAAGTGCTCTGGTTCTCAATGGGAATATTTTCAACTTTCCTCCATTCAGTATAATGTTGGCTATGGGTTTACCATTCATGGCTTTGAGGCATGTTTCTCGTATGCCTCATGTTTTGAGGGTTTTCATCATGAAAGGGAGGTGGATTTTTTGAATGCTTTCTCTGTATCTATTGAGATACTCATAGAATCTTTGCTTTTGCTACTGTTTATGTGGTGAATCATGTTTATTGATTTGCATATGTTGAACCATCCTTGTATCCTTTGGGTGAGACCCACTTGATCATAGTAAAATATATTTTGGATGTGGTGTTGAATTTGGTTTGCTAGTATTTTGTTGAGAATTTTTGCACCAGTGTTTATAAGGGACAGGTCTGCAGTTTCTTTCTTGCCATGTCCTTTCCTGGCATTGGTACCAAGATGATACTGGCTTCATAGAATGAGTTGGGGAGGATTTTTTCACCAGTTCTTCTTTGTAGGTCTGGTAGAACCTACAGATAGGTTCAGCTATGAATCCATCCGGTCAGGGGCTTTATTTGTGGAGAATTTTTTTATTATTGCCTCAGTCTCACTGCTTGTTATTGGTCTGTTCAGGATTTTCATTTCTTCTCCAGGGGCTCTAAACGAAGAGAAAATTGGACAGGTTTTTAATGACGGGAAAGATTATATCTGGTTTGGAGGAGTTAGGAGGCAATACTATGTAAAATGTGGCTAATGTAGCATCAAAACTTGGGGCCTGGAAGGAAACTTTGAGTCATCTAATTCAAACCCTTTCCCCTTATTAATGAGGTAGTACAGTCCACCCATAAGTAAGTATATCTCTCTGTAAATAAAGAGCTGGGATTTGATTCTGGATACCTCTTCCTTACGTCAGTAAGCTTCACTCTGCTTCCCGTAGTCATTCACTTAAAACTGGAAACTTAAGTCTGTTTAGCTTGACTTTTAAATTACTTATTTAGAAAATGAGCAGGGCTTTTCCTTTGAATTTCCTCATTCCTTGTATAAAAAGAAAAGTAGAGGCACTAGATGGGTATGGAATTGCCTAATTCTGCAATTGAGTAACTCCCATCATGTTCTTGTGCCTCAGACCGACAAAGCCAAACAAAGAAAACATAATCCCCATCTGCTACAATCTGCAGTTCCCCTGCTCCTCCCTGAGGGAGGCGATTCCCAGCGGATCCAGCCATTACCGTCCGTTCTCTGTACAGACTTGCCCTTAATGTGTGAGTTAGCTCTTTCTTTTAGACTTTGGCCAGTTCTTTTTTTATTTTTTTCACAGAAAATTCACAGAGAAACTTAAAGTTAATTTCTGTTTATTCTTTGTAATTTTGTGAGATACAGTTCACATTGTCGTAAGGACATTTCAAATAAGAAATTTGCAATGGCTTATTTCAAGAAAGATACAACTGTAAAGCTCTTCCAAATGAAATCAGCATGTATCCAAGCTACTTTATATGACTGATGGTAATTGGGCTCTTCATATCATAATCATGTGTAATAACAAATGGATATTTCTATCAGTCTTATATAGAGAATGAATTTTTCTAAAAAATTAATTCTAACAATGAAGATGATAATAGTCACTAAAATTTACACTTGATATTACAATGTGTCTTATACTTTATGTAGATAATTTTATTTAATCCTCTTAACCACCCTATGAATTAGAAATTGTTATTATCCCCATTTTAGAGAGAATTAATTTTGCTTTAGACCAGGTAAGTGATATGCCCAAGGTTGCAGTTAATAAGTAGCAGAACTAACACTTTAGCTGTGGTCTGTCTGATACTGGCCTTTTAGTGTTTATCATAGTGCTTTAATGCCCCTTATCAGTGATATCTGGGTATCCTAAGTCCTTGGACAATACCCATCCCCTACACACGTACACACTCTCACCCCAGTGGCTTCTGTGGCTTCCAATTTTCCTGCCATACAAATACCTCCACATTCTGCCACTTCCCCACAGGAACCCTGCAATTCAACCAAAGAAATCACTTCTTTTTTTCCCACTCCATGAAGTCTTACCTTTGCTCAGGCAGCTCCTTTCAGTTACAATACCCTCCCCCACCCCTTCACCAACTGCCTACATTCTAGCTGGGTCAGCTCAAAAGAAAAATTTCCAAGGATGGAGAGAAGATAGGCAGTGGGTGGCTGAGCTCAAGGTGAAATAAAATAATGTTTTCTTTTGTTGATTTACCAATATTTGTCTTTTTAATTTCTGGAGAGCCTCTATTGCATGCAAAAATGTTAATAGGAGTTGAAGGTCTCTTATTCATACAGTTCCAATCTATTCTGCAAATCAAAAGCAGTGAAATGATTCATACATGAATAATTTCCCCAAACCTTTGCTTATTGAAATGGATCAGAGATAATTACTAGGTTGGAGAATTTGCATCCACAC